CTGTAGGCTATTTTTATTATATGTACAGCACTTTGGCTCCACCAAAAATCATTTATAAATGTACTATATAAATAAAACTTGATTTGATTAGTGTTGCCTGACTTTATAAAGTGTGTGGTTGCGTTCTAGTCACTTTGCTCAGCGCTACTGCTTGTTACAACTTTTATTTGCCGTACTCGCCATAAACTGTTGATCAGGTTGATCCCGCCCCCGCCTCCGACGTAAGCGGTAAGAACCGGTTTTCGGGGAAAAGAGCCGGCTCCGCTGCGGTGTGAACAGAGAAACTGTGCTTATCAGGCTCTAGCTCCGAACCCGCCCTGGAACCGCGTTGGTGTGAAAGGGGCATAACTAACCAGTTCCAGTTTCTCCATTGACGTTTTTTTAAGGTATTTTGTTGACCAATATCTTTAGCTTTTGGGCTACTTTATTAGTAGAGGGTTTATATATATGTTTAATTAAACTTTTTAGATGCATCACATCACAAAACAACATTTAACTTTTCCTCGTTAATGTGTTAAAGTACTTGGAAGCTTTATTCTTGCGGGTTTCCCAACTTCACCGGCTGGAAGGTCAAAATCTCTTAAGCAGGGCATACTGGGAGACCTGCCTGGGAAGCTTCCAGTAATAATAAACTGTAGTTATAAAACAGATTTATGAGGAAGATAAACGTAACAGGAAAGTTAGCCATAAAGGGAGGAGTTTAAACGTTTAGTTTGCTGTATGTCAACGGTTCCAAATAAAACAGAGCTTAAAGAAACAAGTTGCACAAGAAGCCTTCCTGAGTTGTTTTTTTTCTGAACATGATGTATGCCTTTGCTTTTCTTCCTATAGACCTTAATATACGTGGCATTTCAGATTTCAGCCTCCATCTCCTTTTGAGGCAAATGTCTCTATAGATGTGGGTGATGTGTCTATGACATAATGGAGAAGGAAAATAACTCCTGATTTAGCTATTAGAGAATGTTACGACCTATTCAAGTTATCACACTTTACCTTAAAAAAAAATGTATACACCAAGACGTTTATTTCTCAATATAAGTCAATGGGAAAATATATTTTTGGGCCCAACGGCATCACATGACTGGCACCACTGTTAGGCCACCACAAATACTTGCTTTGACGCCCTATTCACTTCCTGAAGGGCTTGCTGAAAGAGCATTACAACTGCTTTACCTCTAGCACAGAAACATGAAGGTTACTACATTGTTGGGATTATGTTCTCACTTCTTACAGACAGCAGAAGAGTTGAGACTTTTTGGTGTTAGAAGAGGCATTATTATCACATACACTGAGGAACTGTTCCAGGAGTTCTTGCTGTGAAGCTGCTTGATTCAACTCAGTAAGAGAAAGAGACTCCTTATCTCCTCTGTTAAATGCTGCAGAGAGGTAGCTCTATCCTCTTCTCCTTCACAAAGCCCAACCCTGTCTTCTTGGCACTGACTTTACTACATAATCCTTCCTTTAAAGCGGAGGAAAACCCCGGCAAAATGAAAGCAGGGTTACGTCTTCTTCCAGTAAGCCAAGTGGCTATTAGAAGTGGAATCCATGTAGGGCAGGGCAACATGACGGAGACGTGTAACAGAAACCATCTTCTCCTCTCATTAAGCCTTTCATCCAGGAGCACTTCTTGGCGATGAGCTCAAACATTGCTGAGAAATTAAGAGACATCCTGGAAATGTGTCAGAATAAGGTGTGCGGGTCTGTGTGTGTGTGTGAGAATTAGCACACCTTGGAATCCTGAGATGTGTTTTAGCTTGTCTCGTCTCACAGACCTGAGAGCAGTGTTGCCAGACTGATCGTCATGGCAGCAGAACAGAGAGGGTGGAGCGGCATCAATCTACTGACATTTACTGTCAAAAGGGCGGAGGCACAATACGTTCATGTAAGAATCAAGATTGTTATCTCATCTGAGATTCTGCAACAATATGCAAACCATCTGTTTCATTCTTCTAGAAAAGAACCCAGATATAGTACTGATATCGAAGTTGCGTCAAGCATTATTGTGTGCTGTGTTGAACAATCATGCAAAATAACATGATGAGAGCGTCATTTAATGTAAAAGTGTCAAATTGAAAGACAAATAAGCAATTATTCTACCTATTTTAATACTAAAACAAGCAATATTTGTATTTTTTGTCTAACTTGAACTTGAGTAAGGTTTAGGTTACAGTTCTTTTTGTATTTTTTCTATTTCTATTATTGCATCTTTTTGTGTTGGGTGAAATGTATTTGTAAAACCTATGAGAAATGATTTTTTTGTCAATAAATGTTGTTTTTTTTTGTTTGTTAGAGATTGGTAAATGTGTCAAGCTACTTAACAAAGAAATATAAAGAAAGATGGACATTCATGCTTCACTTTTGGGAATAGCAGGCTATAAATAGAGGAACAAATCAATCAAAGTTTTTGGCTAAATTGGGTCCTCAAAAACAAAGAATTACAGGAACACACACACACACACACACACACACACACACACACACACACACACACACACACACACACACACACACACACACACACACACACACACACACACACACACACACACACACACACACACACACCACACACACACACACCACACAGGCAAGCGGGATCCTGTTGCTCTCTCCAGCCGAGCAGAACCTGCTGCTGTTATGAGATACAGTAAAACTCCCATGCGTGTTTCAGCTCTGAGACAAACCCCCCACACACACACTCAGAGCTGCCTCCCACTCCCATGTACACACACAACACACACTGCTGTTTATAGGAAGACAGGAGGCCAGTCACACAGAGAAGAAGAGAGGAGTGGGCCATAATGGGACACAATCTATAGGGATATTGTATTTACACATGCCAATGGTCGCAGGATGTGCATATAAGTAAGGCTGGTTTTAGTCAAAGACGTCATGCTTAATTTATTTTTCTGCTTTACATTACTATTCCACAGAGAAGTCCGTCTGATAGAACATCATTTACTCCCATTTAAGGGTTCTCGGATACACATGGATTCTTTAGGTGGCTGCTGAAGTGAAACGGACGCACAAAGAACCACCAATCACAGTCATTCTTAGAAATGTATCATTAAAAAAAAGCCCCGCGAGTCATCAAGGGTTGGAGAAAGACAGAACATTGTTTGTACAAAGAAACATGTCCGATTGAAGTGGCAATATTACAGCTGCAAAACAAGTACTTTGTTGTCGTCTTGTCAAAATTCCTGATGTTTTTATATCGTAATATGCCATTTTTTGTTCAATACAGCCCTTATTAGTATTATAGTTGATAGAACCTGGCTGTATTTCCTACTTACAAAATAAGCTATTTTTATGACCAAAAACATGCATGCTAACAGTAAGATAACACTAACAGTTGAGTTAAATGATTATAGTCATTTTGTAATTTGTAGTTTTGGGAGCTGTATTAGTATCACCTTCTTTGTATAGCTAACCTTTTCCTTATGGAGTTCAAAAGTATTTCCAACTGTAAGAAAAGTTAAAGCATCAAGATAATGGATATATTTGTAGGGGACATCTTAAAACCCGAAGAGCTGTCCTTTAAACACAACTATCCTGCTAGCTGCACCCTGCTGAAGTGTCCTGTGCTCTGTGATCCAGGACTGTACACAGCAGCCTCCGCGTACCAAACACACAACATGTATCTGACTCACTGAGTGTGGATGCTTCTGAGCTCCTGCTCTGTCTGTCTCTGCAGCTGCTGGAGGTGAAAGGTCAGATCTCTACTCAGAACAGCAAACCTCAACAGTCCTCCTCTCTCTGTGTTCTCCTCACACGCCAAACCCTGAAAACAAAAAAACACAGAACTTATAGAGGTGTGTAACATACTCTGGCAGCCAGGCAGTTAGCCTCATCATTTCATTTCTCAAACGAGAGCATTTAAAAAAAATGTTTCTACCTTGAATTTGTTATTTTTGAAGCGACAGTACTGAGAATTGAGAAATGCTAAATTTGATATGTATTAGGTTTGTAACCTAATTTAATGGTCTGAAATTACCCATTAAACATAATTAATGGACATTAATGGCTGACAGGAAGCACAAATAATTTCACTGATGGATGATGTTGTGTTAGAATTATGTAATTTTGTTAATTTAGCTGGCCATAGTGAGTGCTGCTCATCTGTATATCATGCTAACGTACAGTAAGCTAGCACATTATCATGTTAAATTAGCATGTTAGCATGTTATGATGACTTGATTGTCTTTTTAGTGTCGGTCTGCCTTTACAACAACATATTAAAGCCATCGCAGGTTTAAAATAAATATGTTGCGGAGCATGGGGAGTGGAGTACTATTCCTAGTAAAACATTTTTTTTTTAAAAGGGCAGAAATGTACAATAAAAACTAGAATATTCACTTTTTTGTGAGAAGAAAACATCTGAAAATGGTGGGAACCAGTATACCAATGGTGCAAATAAGAGCCCTAATGGACATACTTCTATTGAGCCCACAAATATCCTTTTCTTTAGTGGACATTGCTTACTGAAAACACACATAATCACGAGGGAAAAACACTACGATTAAGAGAAATTGAGGATTGTTTAGCGTTTTGAATCAATGTGTTTTCCTGTGAGACTATAGACCTGTGTCTCATGCTATATTGAAGTCATTTTGAGCAGTAGACAAACAGTCTCATCTAGTTGGTTCCCTGCACTGTTTCATACTGGATCTCAGAGGGGGGAAAGTGTGCTGACGGAAAAAATACAGACACATGTTCCTTGAGTCATAAATCATATCATATTTAGCCCAGAGGGTATCTGATGTGAGAACACTTACTAGTCTGCCGTATCAATTTGTCAGACATAGCAACATGTTGAGTAAAATAGTGATGAATCACCGGAGGAAGGAGCTCAGAGTGAGGACAGACAGACAGACAGACAGACAGACAGACAGACAGACAGACAGACAGACAGACAGACAGACAGACAGACAGACAGACAGACAGACAGACAGACAGACAGACAGACAGACAGACAGACAGACAGACAGACAGACAGACAGACAGCAGGTGTAAAGAGGTAAAGAGACAGTGGAGGACATGAGGAGTGAAAATAAAGTTGGTTGAATCAGGTCGTGACTCGTGAGTCTGAGCCGAAAGGAACAGACCGACTGAGTCATGCTGGCAGAACATGACAAACCCCCCTTATCCCCGTCCGTCCGTCCGCCTGTCTGTCTGTCTGTCTGTCTGTCTGTCTATCTGTCTGTCTGTCTGTCTGTCTGTCTGTCTGTCCGTCCGCCTGTCTGTCCGTCCGCCTGTCTGTCCGTCCGCCTGTCTGTCCGTCCGCCTGTCTGTCTGTCTGCCTGTCTGCCTGTCTGTCTGTCTGTGTGTCTGTCTGTCTGCCTGTCCGTCTGCCTGCCTGTCTGTCTGTCTGTCTGTCTGTCTGTCTGTCTGTCTGTCTGTCTGTCTGTGTGTCTGCCTGTCTGCCTGTCCGTCTGCCTGCCTGTCTGTCTGTCTGTCTGCCTGTCTGTCTGTCTGTCCGCCTGTCTGTCTGTCTGTCTGCCTGTCTGTCTGTCTGCCCGTCTGCCTGTCTGCCTGTCTGTCTGTGGCCATGTGACTCAGTCTGAGAGACATACTGGCACTATGTTCACACAGTAGCCAAATCTGATTCAGACCACAATCCCACAGTTTACGAGTGGAAATGTCATTTGTTTCTCAGGCATGTAATTATTACATGTAAGAGTTGTTGTGAAACACAAAAACTCAAGAGGTTCTAGACTAGGACAACATCACACAAGAGTCATTTCTCCCAAATATTCACGCATTTCCTTGTCAGTATTTTTGTAGGTATTGTGCCATTCCACAGTTGCAGGGTTTCTGACCAAATGTATGAAAGCCCATAGGGGACCTTATAAAAATGTAAATGTAATTCAAATTTGTTTTTCACATTTTCGCTCTCGTTTTATATTAAATAATCAAGAAGTGGAAATTGTACATGGCAGGACATTTGTTAAAATAAACCTCAACATTTGCGCCACACATTTCTGCCTAGCAACGGCTGTTGTTTAGTGTCTTCTGAAAAGCAGAGTGCCAGATAACGAGCTAGAGATAGATTTGATGGATAGATACAGACGTAAACACGAGTGCATTCCTTACTGCACGCGTCAGACAAAGCATGCATAATCTCCATCGTGATATAAACATGATACCAACCAAACTATTTTTTACCTAATGTTCTTTATCCAGTAAGTAAATTAGTTAACATATTTGTTTTGTTTTTTGTTGTACCCCTTGGTTCATTGCATTACAATTATAGGCCCATCTGATATTTTTGATCTGTTATCAAACAAAAATTGAGTAACTTTAAAAAAAAACAACAACAAAAACCTAATAAACTGAATTGAAATTGAAATTGTTATTTTTGAAAGTTGTAATTATTAAAACTATTTAACATTTTTACAGCTTGACTGTTTCGGACAGGGTGTAAAAATGTCCCTTCCCCCTCCCTGGAAGTTGTAGTGTAATAAAATATTGAGGCTTGTTGTTGTTGTTGTTGTTGTTGTTAAAGCCCAGTGAACAATATTTCAAACATGGAGCTAATTTGATTTGATTTAAGGGAAAAAGTCACATATGCGATTGAGTAGGGGAACGATGGATTTGAGCTGTGTTTCTGAACAGAAAGGGAAAGGAAAGGGCGAAAGTCAGACAGAGTAAAACAGAGAGGATCTCAGATTCCCACGAAGAAAATGGAGAGAAAACCACAAGTGAGAACGATGATAAAAACAAATCCCCGTACAAACCCGTTAGAGGGAATACAGTAAGACAGTGTTGAGCAATTAGTCCTCTAGCAAACATTCATGTTTTAAGAGCATCAGAAAGACAGTCAATGTCAGCAAAGACAGAATGATACTTGATGGCTTTGTTCTGCTGGTGATAACCATCTAACTGTTTTTACTGCAGGCGTCATGTCTCAGATTCCTGCGAAGCTGCAAAGACACTCATAATGTTCTCAGATACAGTTGTAGCGATTTAAATCATTAAAAAGTCATGTGTTTCCATGACATTTAAAACAGGGAAATTCAGCTTTAGGTCATGATCGTAGTTTTATTAGAATCTATTTGACTGTTATCATCACCTGCAGTATAATGCACCCCTTAATACGGTTTACTTGCAGTCATGTATGCTTGTAATGTCTATCATTTGTAATTAGAGCTTTAACTCCCTCTAGTCGCTGAATATCTTTTAGATTTTGATTCATAATTTGGTCTATAGGGATGTCAGGGTATCGGACACAATATCAATTTAATAATTGAATACTGAAAATGTGAACATACTGGCTTTTCACTTAAAGGTGAGGTAAGTGATTTTGGAGAAACCAGCTCGAGTGCGCTGGAATTTGAAAATACACAACCGGAAAAAATCTGGCACTTCCTTACAGAGCCCCTCCTCCAACACACACGAACGCGCACATGACCAATGAGAGCACGAGATAAGTTTGTGCACAGATGGAAGGCTGACAGGCAGGTAGGCCATCCAGTTACTTTAGCCGGCCGGCTCATATGATTGGTCGTGCTTTTTAAGCGCTACGGCTTCCACAGATGATATTTTTTAATGTATTTATTGTCAAAGCATTTAATATATTCATTGCTATCGGGATGTTAAGAGCATTCCATGGAATATAACAAAAAGTGTTTCTGAAGTGAATGACCTACCCCACCTTTAAGCATTGCAGTCAAATTATATTTGCAACTACCTTTTGTTGTGGAAATATTTTCCAAGGCCCATAACTTTGACCCAGTTTATCAGTTCAAACTGTCCTGATTGAGCACACGCACCTCGTAACCTTGGCTGCTGTGCTCTCAGTGTTCTGTCTCCCTGTTCCTGCCTGTTGGCGTCAGCTGATAGAGGTGTTATGATTCTATGTTCCTGCCTGTTGGCGTCAGCTGATAGAGGTGTTATGCAGCAGTTTGATGATGCTCTCAGAACTAGTTAAATACATGGGTCTGAGGTAGAGTTCTTTAGAATTGACGTGGCAACCCACCCGTGCAGTCTCACCGTGACTGCCGTGACTTGTGATGTGAATACTCTGGCCAGAAACTCCAAATAAATCACAGTGGTTTGACATCAAAGCTCCGACTCTTCCCGTGTCTCCTTCCTGAGTCGGTGACTCCACTGCATTGCTACACAGAAGTTTCCTCTACACCTTTGTAGAAGTTACACTTTATCATAACTTATAAGCTGAATGTTTAATTGCATCGTATCAATAATACTATTCTTTTTTATTTTATTTTTTTTTTTTTTTAAAGGGTGGCAATTTTTCTACAGAAAAGTTACTTTTTCGTCTATAAAAAATGCCAAAATGCTTGAACAAACGTAACTAAATTGTGAACACATTGCATAACACATTAAAACTCACATAAAAGTGAACAAAAGTGTATTAAAAAACCCAGTAGTAACTGCTGTTCTTTAATTGCTTTTCAAGTACAAATTAACTTTACATAAGGGTTTATATAAAGGTGAGATTTACAAGATTTCTCATCATTTACCTGTAGCTCCTCAGTGAAGCGTGATTTTAGGACGTGATCTTCTATCAGCTCTCGTAGTTTGTCTGGAGAAGCAGGGAAGTCCTCTCTGTTTCTCTGGAACTCTGGAGGCTTTAGAGAAAGAGAAACCGACTGAGTACTCAATCAACTTTCACCACAGTAACCCTCATACAGTCAATCTGCCAACTATTTCCCAATCAGCAGCAACCAAACACTACTGGGATCCTATTGGCTGTCGATGAAGTGATGCTTCTTTAAAGATTATCTACTCATTCTCTATTCTAAATGTGCACTATGGTTGTAGACTTTAAGCAGAAGGACATTCTGCAAATTGTTTTTGAGTATGTGAACATCGTTAATCAGGACTAAGGCAACACCCAGCTAGCATGATCTTCCTCTGGTTCTGAAACAAACCCTTTCATTGGTGAGGAATGGAGACAAACAGGTAGGATCACTCTCCAGACTAAAATATGTTCAAGTGAGCAGCTCAAGGAATTACTGTAAATGTCCTGAATACAAACACACAGCTGTTTCCAGACACAAAACACAACAGTGGACCAAAGTTTGTCAGGAGAATCAGACGGACAGAGGAACCTGATTGGACTAATAAAGTCCGGAAAGTTTGAAGAACAATTGAGTGAAATTAGGATACTGAATGTGGGTGAAAAAACATCACAGAAGTAATTTGTGACTATGTTCGCCTTCCTAGATTTCCGTAGCTTCTTCTCTAATCATTGTTTTTTTGTATTGAAATGTCTGTAATCGTTGTTATTTGCACTAAATATCATGTATGTCTGTTCTATCGACCAATAAGCATTTAGTGATAAATGCTCAGTATATTAAAATGAGATGAACCTGAATAATTTATTTGTTCTTTTCAGGATTAAAAGCTCTATCAGAGCCACATTAGACATCATTAAACGGAGGAGTAGACCTGATGACTGCTCGTCAATTATTTAAATATTTCAATTGGAGGTCTGTGCTCTTCGAATGCCATTCTAGTTGTATTATCTTACTGGTTAAACAACTTGAAAATAAATAACTAGCCAACAAGGCCTTTGGTGCATTCAGGTACATTTCCTGCGTATGGAAGTATTTTCTTTGACTGTGGGGTGTTCTTGAACTTCAAGTAACTGTTCAAGTATTAAGCAACAAATAGTTTTTTTTTTTTTTTAAAGTAAGCTTGCTTTAGCAAACAACCTTTCCATTAAACCCCAAGCCATGGCAGATGAATTGACGCAGTTCAACAAAAGATATGAGTCGAGAGTGGCCATGTTTACTTAAGAAAAGTCATTTAGGAAGTCTTCATTGAGACTGCAATTTGTTAATAGGGTTGAAGTCGTTGTTTAAAACTGAAGCAGCAATAGGGTTGACCTTCAACGTTTAAAATCTCCAATGTTTCGGATGACTTTGTACAAAAAAGTTAGGCTAGAAAACCCTAAATATCTTTTCTTTTTGAAGCAAAATAGTATCATCTGCCAAATGTTTACATTGGTTTGAGCAGCTAAATGTGAAAGTACGCCATCATACATGTTCAATAATCATCTGAGGTGTTGCTAACCACAATACAAGTCGTCCTACTGAACAGACTCTTCCCACCCACCACTGTGTAAACACACCACAGAGTGCCATTCTGAGACTAAGCTCAAGTGGCAAGTGGCTCATATGTATGTGTTCATCTTAAAGGAAGGAATCAATCTGCATGCATATATATAAAAAACTACAGATGGACAGCAGGCAATTAATTCCCTTACTCTCCATATGAGTGTATGCATTCACAACATGAGTGGGCTGGGTGTTCATGACACACTGGATCTATGTTGTCTGATTAAACGCAATCAAAACAAGTCCATTGTTTTTTAATCCCTCTGAGAATGATGACATGTCTCGACAGGAGCAGATAGGAATGTCTCGTTATTGAAAGGATGATGGAGGTAAGATAAACACATCTCTGAATATACAGTATTTAAGGAGTATCTGACATTGTAGACCCAACAAAGTCGTTTTTTCAAAAGAAATCTCGTTATAAAGTATAGAGTGCCTTAAGAATGTGGGATGCTATAATTTCTCTCCTGGTAACTTTCCAACCCTTTAAATTATGTTTATATACTGCTCATTTGTTTTCTAAATTACATTTTCCAGCAAAACATAATTTGGAAAACAAATTAGTCGTATTTGGATGTCATTTCTCGGAGAATGACAGTATAAAATCTGAATCAGAATATCGTCATCAGACATAGGTATAACTAAATGTTGTTGGCATCGTTGGCAAAACATTTAGGCAATTAAAGATATTAAACACTTCTGTACAAATGTTTCTGTATCAATAATTCATCCCTTCTTTATTATTGGTAACCACAGTTAGAAAACAAATGTCCTTTAGCTAACACCATTTCCCAGACGGTTATGAGCGAATCGTGGAAGTTCGACCTAAGACACTACTAGAATGTAACCATTTTACTCTTTACCAAATGTCAGCAGGACCACAGCAGTTCTGATTGCAGAAGTTACAGCAAAACCATTTTATATAGAGCATTTAATGGTTATGGCTAGGGATGCACCGAATATTCGGCCACCGAAAATTATCGGCCGAAAATGGTTAAAAAGGCCCTTTCGGCTTTCGGCCGAAAGGGTTTTAGCACCGAATGTCAGAACAGGCTTACGTTGGTAACCTAACGTGTTGTTGTGATGACGTAATAAAAATGCGGCGACCATGCTCGCGGCTGGCTCACAGGGGGGGGGGGGGGGGGGGGGGGACCATTGACCTTTGTCATCGAGATTGCCCTGAGCCTTTAACAAATCGTATTAAATAATCTGATGACAGACTGTAAACAGAATAGCTGAAATATTAACAAACTAAATAACTCAGTTTCCTCTAATCATTAACCCATGTTTGTATCATGTAGTTAACTCCGTGTGTAGCTGCTAGCATACATAACACCTGACGTGGAAACGTTACTCGTGGATGGAGCTACAGAGCTGCTAGAAAGACGGTCGAACCCGGTACATTCCTCCGTCTGCATGCGGTGCACTTTTGCTAAATGTTTAGACAAATTGCTCGTGCTTACATGCTACACTCTTATTGCACTTATGGTAACAAGTATTCTCCACATCGAGACGGGTAAAGTTTAACCACACCTCGGAGCGCGTTCTCTCCGCCATCTCCGCAGTGTGCTCCGCTGCATGTAGCAGCTGCGTGTGTGTAAACTGCCCCGCCCCCTCGCACACAGACGGGGGAGAGAGATCTCGTCTGATCGAAAATACATCATAGACGCATTTGTTGTCTTTGCATATTAGAAACGAGTTGGCGACACTAAGACTGCGATATAATGTTTTTTAGCAATAATACATGACATATATAAATGTACTGTATGCATTCAAAAGTGCTGAATAAATGTGTTATGGACCCATAATAGTGATTATTATTTAAGTTTTTGCCATAATCATGTCTATTTCCATAATCAGGTAGCTGAACAACATTGGTAAAAAATGTATACATTATATATATATATTTCTATTAATCATTTTCGGCCTTTCGGCATTCGGCCAACTGTTTCCTATTTTCGGTATCGGTTTCGGCCAAGAATTTCCCATTCGGTGCACCCCTAGTTATGGCCGAAACAAAGTTACGAGAAAGTACCTGCGCTTCAACGTTGTCATGAGAGCTGTAGTTTTCTGACTACTTCTTGGGACCGTATGTGTTGTCTCTTACAGGCGTTAACCCAGGGTGAATTTAGCTGATTATCTAAGTTTAAAACGCCATGACTAATAACTTTAACATTACATGACTTGTCCCCACTTTACTAAACGCTTACACAATTACATTGTTAAAATGTGCAAAAGCTGTTACCTGGTACGTGCATGCCTCAACGCATTAATGCAATTACACATACAAAACGTCACAAACTCTTGCCCTGTGTCATGGTGTCAGCCAAAGGGTAGAGAATTTCAGCTAAAAAGCAAGTCATCCTAATCCCAGCCAAAACAACTTAATCATTATGTCAAAATTATCTAAAAATCACAATGCTTCTTTATTAAATATGAGACATAGTAGACAAAGTAAATTACTTTTCTTACAACAACATTACAAAGTTGTTAACTAAGGCTTTAAAAAGATTATGTTTTAAAACAAGATCATTCATCAAAAGTAATAATATGCCTTAAAAATAATGTTAAACTAGCTAAGGTGCTGCACTTAGCTATAGCTAAACACACTAGCTGCAGAACAAAACAAATGTTAGGCTTTACCTCACCAAGTATTCAGGCTACAAGCTTTGTTACTTGTCTTTAATAAATAAAGTTAAATCGAACTTCTTCAATATAAAGATTTTAAAAGATAGCTGACGGACCAAAGATCTGTTATCAAGCTAGCCCGTTGTTTCAGCAGTGAAGCTTAGAGAAGACTCTTTCCCTCACTGTTTGAAGGCAATTAAATAGCTTCTTACTGTAGCTGTTACAATGTTCTAAAAAGTACTCACTGCAGGTCTTGGAGAGAGAGAAGTATTCATGATGACAGACAGACTCAAAACTAACTTTCCTGACTGAGCTCAAACTACAGGGGGTTCCTGTGTGTGTGTGTGTGTGTGTGTGTGTGTGTGTGTGTGTGTGTGTGTGTGTGTGTGTGTGTGTGTGTGTGTGTGTGTGTGTGTGTGTGTGTGTGTGTGTGTGTGTGTGTGTGTGTGTGTGTGTGTGTGTGTGTGTGTGTCGCAGTACTGTGTACATGGAGATGACCCTAACTACAACCTCAAACTGACCACAATGGACAAGCAGAGTGAGAGAATGTGAGTTTGTTAGTTAATATCTGTCTAGGTTTCCTGTGCCCGATTGATCAGTGTACTCAACCTCTCGTGTGTGTGTGTGTGTGTGTGTGTGTGTGTGTGTGTGTGTGTGTGTGTGTGTGGGTGTGTGTGTGTGTGTGTGTGTGTGGCCTAGCATTACTATGTGGGGACCTAAATCTGTTTACACAGTCACGTGTGGGGACTCTCCTCCCTTATGGGGACACATTGGAGGTCCCCATAAGGGGAATCATTAATTTTAAGGTGAAGACTTGGTTAGGTTTAGGATTAGGGTTAGGGTTAGGGTTAGGCATGTGTTGGTTATGGTTAAGGTTA